TGTGTATGTGTATGTATGTGTGTGTGTGTGTGTGTGTGTGTGTGTGTGTGTGTGTATGTGTGTGTGCGTGTGTTTGTATTTTTTAATAGGTGCATGTGTTTGTATGATGTATGTTTGAGTGTATTTATGTGTGCACATACACATATGTATGTGTGTGTGTATGCTCGTGATTGTGTGTACACGCGTGGGTGCATAAGTATGATTGGTTGGATGTGTGTATTGTAACAGTGTGCTGTGACACTTAAGTCTATAATAGTATGTTCGAGTGCAAGTAGATGCTAAAAACAAAGTGAGATCGTGGTCTTTTCGAATCATGTTTGTTACGTATACCCGAATCGACCTACAATACAGATAGTACGATGAACGCAAAAAGGGTAACTATGAAATATTATATTCGTATCTTGAGAATTAAAACATACAGGATCGAGGTAGCTTCTTTGATTTCGATTCTGCAGTAGAGCTGGGAGGAAGAGTAAAGTAAGGTTAATATAAACTAAATTGAGGACAATCCGTATATATGACCTGCAGCCGCTGGTGGTAGCAATAAAGGAACTCCACTGAATATAGTTAAAAATACAGTTTATCAACTCATACCGTTAAGTGTGTCGTGGTGTGGTACAGACCTCTGTCGACTACTAGGATACCCTCCTTGGGCGGCGGCGTGCATTATAAAACTCCTACAACCTCTTTGTATTTGCTGCTAAAAGGCGAAACACCCTTTCCGTTATAGTTACCAGCTAATTACCTATAATCTACTGCAGCTGGGCCTAAGCCAAGTAGCTCTGTCTCACGATACTATTATAACGCACACCGATCTGCGAAACAGCACCCTGCTTCTGGAATCGAAGAGACAGTCGACACAACTCTTCTTTCTTTAGTGTATCTTGAACTGGCCTTGAACATGTGTGCTTTCTTACAAAGTTCGTCCGTATCTCAACTACTAGCAAGTGGTATTGTTCCAGAAGATATCAATAATAATCACTAGTTAATTAGAAACAGACATACTACTTTTCACAAGACGCAGGGTATCTCATATCTAGTTTCAGATGAAGTAAAATGCTTCAAGTAGTTCGTATCTCCCCATTCGCCCCAGTATATAGGCTCAAGTAAGTATCTGCCCAGTATACACGTTCATTCAAGCTATTTTAAGTTTTTTTTAATATCATATAATAATACAGTACTCATTGAGACAAAATAGTAGTTGTATAATAAATCATAAGATACTGTGCACCCCTCCTGGGCCCTGGCCACTGGCTGGAGCTTCGCCCAGAGTGAGCCCTGAGGCCTTAGCTCAATGCGTTAAGGCCTTAGCTCAATGCGTTAACAGTTGCAACTTTTATTATGCCTCGAATAAACATTAAAGTTGTAACTTTTATATCTCGATAGTACACTTCCATATATAATAGGTGCATTTTACAGGTCACTCCGGTGACAGTCGTCACAACTGAAACGTTCAATCTCCTTTGATTGCCTATTATCAATTTCGTAGCCTAAAATTTTCAACGATAGGACAGCTTATTGAGTGCAGCTTCAAAAAAAAAAATAGTTGATTTGTCCTAAATAAAATTTATAACCTTTAAAAATCAAAAAGTTATCATTAAAGTTGTAACTTATATTCCGTACCCCTATAACTTATTGAGCTTAGCCTGAGCCGGCTGTTCCATAAAAATAGTTACAAAAAAAAACCTAGAAGAAGAAAAATGGGGATAAATTCGTTAACCAATTTTATTGGTCACGCAGTATTCCTTTTCCACCAATTGGAAATAATTATAAGTGAAAACGCTTAGCTGTAAATTTCAAACATACTCTTTGATTAGTACTTGTATTTTATAGCAGTCGTAAACAAAGTATATATTCGCTCTACCGGCTTTTTCAACAGTCACGCCCATTTGCAGGCGATAATTTACAACATTTTCTAGGTGTTAGGTATGTCGTTTTCTATAAAACACAGGAGCGTCCGCAGTAAAGTACTATGGCAAATTATGAAATGCCAGCTAGATCTTCGATATAAAAATACAAATCAAAGCGCGCATATTTGCCTTTTTCGTCAATGGTAGAAATTATAGAACAACTTTTTATACATTTTGATTTGATTTTATACTAAATAATTAAAAGTTAAAAAAACAAATATAACAGAGCCTTAAGTCTTCTACCTATCACCCTGGGGCCGGGCCTGGGGCCGGGCCTGAGCCTGGGGCCTGGGCGGCTGGGCGGCTGGGCCTATGGCGCCGTGTCGGGTGTAGCCCTGGGCCTGAGGCCCTGGACTGGTGACTGGTCTGTGTCACTGTTTCTGTCCTAGTGGTCAGTAGTTTTGGTGAACAGGGCCCAGGCCCATTGGCCCCAGACCCCTACATAAATACATAAGTACTGTTCTTGAGACTTAGTTCTTGGACAGTTGACGACTTACAGTTGACGACGTGACGTGCTTTGTTTTTTTTTAAAACAAGTTATTTACTCTGATAATGAATTAATTACCCTGTATTTACATAAATACACATACATACAAATTGATTTTTTTTTTAAATTATATGAGTCGTACAGTCGTATGTACACGAGCTACTTACAACCTCTGAACTACTACTCTGAGGGGGTGTCTTAACGGGCTCGGATTTATGTTCGGATTTTTGGGGGGGGTGAACCTGTCTTTTAACCTTGTCCAAGATGAATTTTCGGACTACTTCTTTAAAACGGACAGAATTTGTTTACGTACTACACAATCACAAAGCTCTTGTGAAGTTGAACATATTTCCTAAATTCCAGTACGTATTTGTTTACGTAGAAAAAAATGCGAATCCCGTAAATTCTATCCGAACGAAAAGTGTATGATGCCCTCGAAAGTTTGCCCTCGTTCGGATTGATGTTCGGATTTTTTTTTCGGATTTTTTTTGCTTTTTATTTTATTTTAATATTAGCCTCCACCTATTGGTGTAGCGAGAATCCGAACATAAATCCGAACATCAATCCGAACCCGTTAAGACACCCCCTGAAACTGCGGGCCAAAAGTCAAAACCGGCTTTTTGTCTTTGTGTAAAATGCCGATATATTTCAGAGTAAATATTCAAGAGTCAGTGCGAATCTATCGTCGATCGGCAGAGGCAGTTCTGCTACAACAATAAATAAAATCCTCGTCATGTGGCAATGATAAAGCGCGCCCAACGACAGTTTGGATTGCCCCAAAAGCATAAATCCACGAGCGCAATCTTCAGTGTACCTCATCTTCATCCGTCTCATATCAAAAACATACACTGGGTACGAGAATATGAGATTCATCCCATATCTTGTGGGCACTGCCTGCCTAGGCTATACAGCAGCGCAATCCGTGCCAACACCTGCGGCCTTATTGCTCCCAGCGCCCCCAGCGCCCAGCCGACCTTCAGATGATTTGGTAAATTCGAGTCTGCGAGTCCAAGTTTGCAAATGCGGTGGTGCAGTAGTGAACGAAGTATGCTACGACACTCTGGAGAAAGCCGTAGACAAAGCAGTAAATGATGATTATGTCTTCATTGGCGGCACTCACTATGTAGATAAACCTATCCAATTTACATACGACTTGAACTTTGTGGGTGTACTGTGCTCCGGTGATCGTGCCAAACTTGTGGCTAAATTCGATCGACAACGAGGAGCTATTCTGGAAGCAGTGCGCTATAACGAGCAAACCATTCTGCTCGCCAACCTAGACTTTACAGGCACCTATGGCAATTCAAATTCTGGCTTCCACACCAGAGGGCAAGCCGGGGCCTCGGGTGGACAACGTGTCTCCCTAGGTGTTTATAACACAAACTTCTACGACATGAGCAGCAAGCGAGATGGTGCAGGGATATTCATAGGTGTGGCCGAGGCGCTAACAATATCGTCAGATTGTACATTTGAAAACTTGAAAGTGGCAACAATCGAAAAAGGGATCTACGCAGGTGGACCCGCGCTTACAATCGCATACGTCCCCCCGTATGCAAATATCGATATCGATGGCACCTACTTCGACAATAGCGCTCGATTTGTCGAGGGCTCTAAGCATAGTGACGGTGGAGTCATGCACTTTTCCACCGTGGATGGCGTGGTTAACATCCAGGGGTACTATTACAACAATGTGGCCAACCAGGGCGGGGCCATATTCGTCGAGGAGTTAGTCGGCACCATGTTCATCAATGGCCATTTCGAAGCAAATCAAGCAATTGATGACGACTACGGCGCCAGAGGTGGAGCTTTGAGGGTTGTCAAACTATTCGCAGATTCTCAGTTACAAATCACCGGAACTTTCAAGGACAACCGTTCGGCCGGAAAAGCAGCAGTACTCGCACTTAATATTGTTGCAGATCGAGCTGTCGCTTACCTCTCGGGCAGGTTTGAGGGTAATACAGCATCAGGAGATGGAGGTGTCATTAGCGTATGGTCGTCCACGTCCATGAAAGGCGCGCTCGTAATCGATGGCAATTCGCAATTCAAGGACAATACTGTTACAATAACAAATGAAGAGCCAGGCAGCAGCCTTATATATGTAGAGCGGCCGCGCATGTATTATTCTGAAAACGATTGGAGTGGATCTCGCATGATCGTATCAGCGGCTCGAAATCAGGTGGTTGATGTTGTCCCGAAAAAGTGGTAGAAGAATCAGAATTCGCAATGCATTTTATCTATACAGAAATTAAAAAAGGCTTACGCATTCAGTGATAAATAACAATGCTATTTTAATAATATAATAATATAAAAAACAAACGAACAAACAATTCAGTATTTAAATTACGCTACCGATTCGGTCACACATGATTGCTCAGGCACTCTTCTCTTACTCCTAGGAATAGATCTGGTAGTAGCTCCGCAGTTTCAAAGCCAATCTGTACGTCCTTGTTTGCGTCTAAATACCTTTAATGATCAGATAGACTAGTACTAAATAAATATAACGCAGCTCTCAGAGCATATTCGAGCATATACCACCCTTGTCTTTACTAAGCGCAACACATATTGCACGTCCACAGGTATATCAGTGCGCCTATCTAAATCCGTTGCAGCTGTAACCACCTCAAATTGGGTGGCTCAGTCCAACAATGATACCAGATGGGGGCCCGTCCGGTAGGTTAACTGTTAAAACGAAGCAAATCAAAATGTCAGTATCATTTTAAAGATACCTTTAGGATACGTCCAACATCGGTGTGATGCATTTAAACCAACCGCATAAGTCACAACCTAATTCAGTCGAATGAAGCAACTTACATGGTATAGCTGGGTATGGAATCGGTCGCGGATATTTCCGTTCCGCAACCAAAAGCACATTATATGTTTGTTCCATGAGTCTGGGAAGGTCCTCCTGTGTAGTCAGAAAAGCCAACGATGTTATAATTTACATTAAAAAGAGGTGAAAAGGGGTGTAACTCTTCAATGTAAAGCTCACAGGGCGTTTTTTTTTTCCGCATCAAATTGTTTATGTGACACGTGCGTGGCAAGGAACACGTAGCAATCGTACGATAAAATGCCACTGCCAATCAATCGAACAATCAGAAAAATATATATAAAATCCCGCAAACGGTAGTCTCAGGTTATACTAGCAGGTTTACTGGTAATAGCTCTTAAAAGTGGAACTGAAACTTCAGCTTCTATATACACATACCGGCTTCCGCTCTTTTCGGAAAAGGTGTCGCACATTGGTCCTTAGATAGTCTTCGCCGAGAGGATAATTCGGCGCAAGCAGCATGACCTATTGAGTATGCATGAAACCATTACGACAAAAAGTGATCAGTAACGATTAAGCCCTGACAGAGCGTGCCCAGTCCTTCTTCACACAGTGCGGGCGCCAATTGTAACTTAAAAAAACAAACACAAAACCGAACTTTAAATGCCATACACAATGAAAAACCATGATTCCAAACAAGCAGCACACCATCGCGACAGCTATCAGTCAAGATCACCAGACTATACATTCTCAAACAAATGTAAAGGTTATGTGTGTTTTAATCCGCGCTCACATCAATACACGAGCCACATACTCGCTTGTACAGCCCCAGAACGGTCTTCGGCCTGCCATATGTCATAGTTTCGCCCCTGCGCCTGCGATAGTTATGAAGTAAGCCCCGTTTTAGATTCGAGTATTCATAGTAGTTCTGGTGCAACATGCATTGACGATGAAGGCGGCCAAAATCCAGACAAAAAAAAAAGATCCATGCTATGATAGTGATTGCTCGGCATATTGAACAGAACCTCTCCCTTGGAAGTTGTAGTTGCTCGCAGCCAAGGACAGAACACAACACCCAACAACCACTTCGATCTTATAAATTCTCGATTGAAACCATTATTTAAATAAAACAAGGTACCGATACAATCATGCTCGCAAGGTTTTAAACTTGTCCACAGAATGTACAAGATGTACACTGGTACTTCATATGAGTAGGACTTATAGATCATGAGAAAAATAACTGCTATCATATAAAAAATATTAATATTTACACATGTATCTTTATCTACATAATCATAAACAGATAATATATATACATATATATGAAATATAAGTATATATATATATCGATATATATATATAGCTATGTATATAGCTATATATATATATATATATATATATATATATATATATATATATATATATATATATATATATATATATATATATATTAGTAGTATAGTATAATATATATATATATATATATATATATATATATATATATATATATAAATATATATATATATTAAATTGTCAATACGTGTATGTGTAGTAGTGGAAATCCAAGTTTTCAATTTTTGGCTGCTTAAGGTAAAGTATAAATCCGAGAAAACAAAATTTTATCGTCGACATAAGTCCCTGACAATTCTGACCTGTCGCAGCGGGATAGCGAGTGCGGACTATTCTAATCATACATGACCCACAAAATATCCATTCAACCCATTTTGAGGTCACTCAGTTTCAAATAATCAAATCAAAGTAGCAAAAACGCATACCCTCCCTTCAAAGCCGAAATCCTAGACATACGCAACACACGAAACTAAAAATGCAATATACAGTAAGTTGAAGTAACAGTTCCAAAATACTAAAACAAAGCAGCAAATGCGAGCAGCATATATATATCAAAGCCAATATTCCGATCATGCATAATCTGCACACTTAAGAAAATTCTTATAGAACGTACGTTATGGTCAATTCGGTGGGCGTTTTGCTAGACCCGACGCTGCTGAACAAATTGCTGAGCCACGACAAGCTCCTGCATCTCACTGCATTGGCCACAGCCACGGTTCGCGTATGGGACAGACCTGCCAACCGTTGCATAGTTTACGGATGATACAAGTTTTCAGAAAACTACTATGACCGATTTGGTTATCAAATAAGTTGTGACTAGTGTAATAGTGGGATGTATGCTATATATACAGAGAATGGAAGTATGTACAATAGATGCATGAACTATTTACAATATATTTGGTTATTTACCTCTCTCTCTCTAGTGTTTGTATGTCAGATATTTAACATCTTTGCTGGAAGAATCAGTCTGATTCATCATCCAAAGAGTGAGTGAGTTCGATACCTCCGGTAGACTGTTCGGTACCTATACAAAGCTACGAATCGATGAAGTCAAAAAGATAAATTGTCAATGTGTCAGATGTCAAAACATTAAACCGGAGTTTGTCTGTGAAGTTTTTATTGTTGTTGTCGTTTTCTTTATCCACTCTTTTTGGTGATTTGTCATTCCTTTATTATTTTTTCAGAAATTTTCAAGGACGACTGGACGACCCACACACATGAGGATTCAGGCCATGACTCTCACTAACCATTGGGCCGTAAACGACGACACTCACGACAGCACTTCCATAAGGCGAACCATTGACTCTCACAAATCATTGGGCCGCAAACTACGATAGCCCTTCTATTTTAAAAGGCCGCCCATGTCTCTTACTAATAATCATTGGGTCGCAGTCATTTCCACACCGCCCTTTTTAAATAACTGCAAACTCAGTTAACTGTCTAACCCACCAACCACTGGGCCTGAAATATTTTCCAAAAGTGTGTTCTTCACTATTCTACTGGTCTCTGAGAAATGCTCACTAAAGTTTCCTGAACCACTACAGCGACTATGAGAGCCATACAATATGTTCATTAAAAACCCATTTTTAAAATAAATAATATTATCCCTAAAGGAACATATGTTGAAAATTGATACGATTTTTGTGTATTTCAGAATAACCCTGGTTTCTCTTGTCAGACAAGAACTCTACGCTAGGGTTATTATTGACCTCATGAACATGGCTTGCGGGCACTTTAGTATAATTGGATCCGACCTTCTCAATAAAGAAATTAATCACTAAGAAAGTCTTTAGGATATGTCACAATAGGTTATGGGCAAATGTTGCCTTCGTTTATTCTATAGTGCCACTATACTTTCTAGCTCATCATCTAAGCCTCACACGATTGCATGGTTGATTTCGGATGAGGATGGCTAGAATCTTGATCACTGACTATCTAATCTTGACACGGCCGCGACAGCTATACCATCTAAGGAACTCACTTCAATCCTCTATCACGACTAACATTCTGATCTTGTTCTTTTCGACACATGACGAATGTATCCTACACTACTCTGACGTTATGAAAGCACCCCGCACCAACTGGACTCCGGCACAGAAAGCCAAAACCATCGTAGAAGGTGGCTATACCACCAACATCAATGACTCCGGCGACTACCTTGCGGCGAAACATCTAGTTGTAGCTACTATCACTATCAAACTCCGTCTCAAACTAGCTCCCACTTTCAAGCAGACACATCCCTGTGTTGGATGCTTCTGTCTTCAAATACTGAAAAGCTGATTCATCCATCAATTGAGAGCTGACAGATCAACCAACGATATTATAGATGCTGCTTACCTTTGCACTTTTTCCATCTCTAGGATGAGTCTCTGTGTCCCTGTGTGTCCCTCAGAATCAAAGATATCCTCCTTCGTGTCAAGGCCCAGAGCTATACTTCCTCATTGAATCTCTTTATAGACGGCCTGTCCGATGCTGACAAGCAGACACAAATCCTCAGCATTTATCTGATGTCGTGTTTAAAAACTAAGGCTGACATCAACATCGATCACATGGTTGATTACATTAAACGACTTCATAAATCATTGGTTCCTGCGCTCTTGAACACCAGTGTCCTGACCTTGCGTGTGGCACACACAATTCCTGCCCCGGCTAACCTACCTACTATGCACGGGATCGTCAGATTACTTACCGAACTTACTACTAACGCTAAAGCCCCTCGTGACCGTCGTACAATGGAGTGCCATGTCTGCCAACAGACCACTTATATGCGTCTTCGGTCTGCTCCAAAGCCTGTGGATAATGTGGTCAGACAACAAACACTGGTCGCGAATGCTCAGCCACTAATCTCAACTGCTCGAGTATGTCGTGTTATAGTTGACAAGAAAGTAGGGAAGTTCTTGCCGCCAGAGGTGGTGTTCGCCCGGCGCCAGGGAACGTTGAAAATTGTTACGAGTGGTGCGCACTGTAATATTCGGTCTAATAAAGGCGATACTAAAGCCTACTTGCCATTTTTGAAATAAATAATTTTATCCCTAATGCCTTAGAATAAATAAACGCGTCGGTAAATTCTAAGTATCGTGTCAATATTGATATAAATAAACGAAATGAGACGTTTAGTAAAGTTAGGTTTGCCTCGTGAAAACAGCAATACTCTGAGGGATTGTGAGGCTGAGACATTGCCTATATAGAATCCTCTCAGTACTGTTTCCGCCGAAGGAATTTTTTATTTCGTGTTTCGTTGTCGCTCTATTCTGGGGCGAATCCGAGAGACTCATAAAATCCTATCTTTAGAAAAAAGAAATAAAAAAATAAAAATACTCTTGACGTCCTTAGTTATTGTCTTAACCAATAACTTGCCACTATCAAGAATTACCGACTTAGCCTTCATCAGACTGGCACATCTGGTTGGCTTATCGGAGGATCAACTAGGTAACGTTAATAGGGATAATATTATTTATTTCAAAAATGGCAAGTATATATGATATAATGTATGAACATATGGTATGGCTCTCATAGTCTCTGTAGAGGTTACCTAAAAACCTATATTCGGTTGAGCCATCTCGCTACCGAAGTATTCAGATATAAATAAAATTGGAAAGTAAATAAAGTTCTATTAATATTACTAAACCAACTTTTTATGTTTGGTATTTTACTGAGGCCTTTTAATGGCCTCATCCAAATATTTGATAAAATGGAAAAGGTATTAATCAATAAAACCATTAAAGATTGCACTGACATGGAGCCTGATCAGGAGGAGGCTGTGCAAGGGCAAATTTGCCGCATGTTCTTTGCCTCAGCCCTTTGGGATGGTGCAGGTCGCAACCTGTCACCAGCCTGTGCAGTACATCATACCGATCTCATCGCTGGCAACAACTCACCATTGTATCAGTTCCTCCATCTTATGAATGTCGAAAGGATACCGCCGTATTGTGCGGACATGTTCACAGAGATTTCTTCTTTGTTGCATAACCTGGGTGCTATCGAAAGCGTTTCTCAAATGATGTAAAGTCGCCGTCACGGACACCGACCTGGAAACTGCTGCCTTTGCGATTTCCCTCAGGGGCGCTATGTATTGGAGACACCAAAGTCTTGTATTGCTGAGACTAGCACCCCGCAGTTATCCACACCCAAACCGACCGATGAGCAATCGCTTCAACGGGCGCAGCAAGAACTCTCTGTTGGCCCACAATTGGAGTCAGCCCTCCAAGTGGAGTTGTACGCCACTGCCACGCTCTCGTTCAGTGCTGAGGAGAAAACAAGACCAAGTAGTCAAGATCTTCATTCATGAAATTGCTCAGATTAATCTAGCTTACATCCATCCACTTCAAGCGTTTGTATTCCCGGAAAGCTAGAATACTACACCGCTCGCGGTGCCTCAGAACTTTTCAGCTATTCCTTCGAACCTCATTGGCGCCGACAAACAAGCCAGCCGTCCAGAAGGAAAATACACTACCTGTTCCAGTTGCGGTAAGCATCAGGGACACAGCGCTGTAAAGAAGTGTGCTGCTGCTAGGAAGGCATGTAGAAATACGGCCTCCGGTTAGTCTAAAATATCAAGATCAATTGAGATAATACATTGGTTTTTATTTGTATTTTAAATAATTTAATACAAGCTCTTTTTCCAATATTTCCAAAGTGTTCTAAATTCACTTTGATGGCTCCAATAGCCTGAGTATTTGGTATGACTCATATACTTGGACCTGTTTGAGACATTAGTTGAAGTAGGATATTATAAACTAAATTTTATAATCTCCGAACTACTACTTATAGATTTTAGTCCTCCCGCCAATCTCCAAAATCCAATAAGTCTTTTTCTTTTTTTAACTTTTCTTCAGATGGAACTTTATTTATATCAGCTAATGTATTAACGTGACTCACGTTATTATGTCTATCTACAAATTAGGCATGTGGTCATGAACACTTAGTACTTATAGTGAAAAATTTTCAATAAAGAACAGC